GAAGCAGCTTTCATCAGGATTTCCTCTTTAGCTCCCTCAACAAACAGCAGTCACAGGGCAGATGTCCCCAGCGGAGCTCCCCCACAACCAAGTGGGCACTGACAAGCTGGTGCCCACCGTCGGAACTGCAGGTGTCCCCCTAGTGGCGTTTCAGTCCTGGTTCACGTTTACTAGGCCTGTGAAATCCCTGCCAGGTCTCTGCCAAATTGAAATCTAGGGCTCAAATGCTCACTAAACACACGTGGCCGGTGCTCCCGCCGAACTGCAAGGAGAGAACATTCCTCCCCACAGAAAGGTCTACCAGGCAGCATGGGCCAACCTAAGGAGTGGTCCTAGAGCGCGTTACTTTGCCCGCATATTAAAAAAAAGTTCATGCAATCATCACTCAAACAGTATCATGATGCTCGCCAGCAGGCGTGGAGGCCAGAAAGCATGCGGTGCACACATACACACACACACGTGTACATCTGCACACAGCCACACATGCATGTACACACATGCAACAGACACGTGCACATGTACACACGTGAGCATACAACACAGAAGCGCACAGAAGCCCCTGGTAACACATACATGCGCATGCACACATGCCCACACACACCCATGCACATACACACATGCACACCAGGTATGCATGCACATGCGCACACGTGTGTTCACACACACACGTATGCACAGAGGCTCGTGCACATGCACAGGCCTGCCTTCCGTAACCAAAGCATTAAAGCATAAAGTGAATTTGCAATGTGGAAACTATAAAAAAACGAAGCAACTTTGAAATGAGACATCCACTTGTATCCTATCAAATTGGTAACAAAAAGCATCGGAAAATACTTTCATGGTGGTCTGAACGGGTATAATCTTCTGAAGGGCAATTTGGTGATTTTTATCACACAATGTGCTCACCCTTTACATTTATGAATTCCACTTCAATACATTTATCCTGTGAAGGTGGCCAGATGTAATTACATAAATATGTGTAAGTTAAGGGTGTCTTTTTAAAAAAAAAAATACAATGGCCCGTACTGTGTTTTAAAGATGGATCTTTCAGGCAAATAAAATCTTAAAAGCAACTTTCACTTAACAGTTATGGTTTTCTCATCTTTTCCTGAAAACTTCATGGCTATTTCAGGAATATAAAATTGAAATACACTGGAATGTAACAACAGCATGAGTGCGGCCCAGCTCTGGACACAGCAGTGCGTGTCCTGTGACTGGAAAGGCGCTGCCAGTCAGGACAGAGCGGGTGACACAGATGAACGCCATCAGGGCACTGTGTGAGTACGTCACAGTGCACCCTGCTAGGGGAGGAGCCTGGGATACTACTGCCGAACAGACACGATCCGGCTACATTCAGGCATGCACGTGAAGTGACACAGACACAAATGGACAGGCACGTGCACATGCGCATGTTCACACGCACGCGGGAGAGGTCTGTGAGAACATTCACCTACTATGTGATAGCATTGCTGGAAATGTTATTTTTTTATTCTCTGCTAAATTACCTGAATTTTTCACAGCAAACTATAAAAGAAATAATTTTAAAGTCCCCCTTTTTAAAATTAATGAGAGTTCTCTATAAGAGTGTAAAACAGTATGTTACTAGTATTTTTTCCAAATCAAAATGCTAACATGACATTCGTAGGCTACTTTTCAAGAATAATCTACTGTGTCTGTACGGTTTAATTCCTTTCAGAAATGCAGACATTCCAAAGAAATAGCCTCAGGGTTGTGATATTCTTGAGATTTATTATTAATGTTAATAAAATTATTTTAAATTCAGAAAACTTTTTTTCATTTTCTTAAAATATTTGTAAATAGATACATGAGATAAAGCTGTTTGAACTGAAGCAAATCTGGAAACAGCTAACCGCTGGCCAACAGAGAGCCAATTCTCAGTGACATTTTCAGTGCTGCAAGGGATAGAGATTACGTAGAAACAAAAGTCTTCTGATCACTATATTAGAAATACTCATTTTTAGGTAATGAACAGAGCTTCCATTTACTACTTCCACCTGCACTAAAATTTGGCTCTGGGCATCTTATCTTCAAAATTCCTCGTTAGTATATCTACTTAATCTATATTCTTTCCAAACATTAAGAGATTGGAGATCAAAATTCTGATCTGGAACTATGTTCTTGGGTCCCAGGGTACAGACTCTCTGTTCATTAAGTGCAAGAACATTTAAGTCTGCTCAGTTACTTTCATATTAGATCACAAAAATGGCTTCAAGTAAACTTGAAGTTTTGACACTTAAAGAAAAAAACAAAAAACAACAACCAGAAGCTTTACCTTAGAGAGATTTAAAATCCCATTAGAATTTCAAGGTTATTATGGTCCCTTCTCCCAGGAAAGAAATTGTTAGCACCTATCTGCTTCTTGAGCATAATAATTAAAAGAACAGAACAGATCCTACACAGTAGTAACCATTTCTTCAGAAATTTTCAAGCTCAGAATAAAGCTCACCACCCCGACCCAGACACAGGCTTTCTGAGCCTCATCAGAGCGGCTCCCCGTCTAGGAAAGCAGCGGGTGAGTCATGAGCGTTTACCGACAGACACCGCATCACCACAGCAAGTGGAGCTGCCTCACAACGTGAGGAAGTCCAGACTAACAAGACAAAAGGAAAACCAAGGGCTAGAAAAGAAAAACAGAATAGGGTGCACTGTGGCTATCGTATTTCTGTTATCCAGTAACTCTGAAATTAACAACAACAAATCATCTAATCAGTAAAAGCAGAGCAAACACATAGAAAATGGAATCTGACAACTTGACAGTGGGTTCCTACAAAAGTAGCATTAGACATTTTCTTCAAAGGTATAATTGCTGCATTTCCATTTAGGAATATAAAATATCCACAATAAAGGTTAACCCATCCTCAAAAATCCCAACGGTTTTGAAGTCTTTACTATGAAAATAAGAACTAAATATTAAAGCTATGGCTGTAAAGACACCATGGTGTCCAGAATTGCATTTCCTAAGTCTCAGAGTCCCTATCTGACCAGGGACCCCTCCTTTTCTATTTTTACTACCTTAATGCTTTTGTTCTTAAGGTCTCATTAATATCTTAACCTCCTCAAGTGTCAATTATTATCAGAAAACAGAAGATATACATTTGCTTTTAAAATGCACAATCCAAATCCACAAAAATAAAATATGGGTATTAATGCAGTTCCCACACCACCAATGAAACTAATTTCATGGAGACGTCACAAATTATTGCAGACATCTAAGAGGAAGTCCACAACTTAAGGCTTGATACTCATCTAGGCAGATTCAGGGATTTATCACTGATCTAGCATTTAGGCATTTGATTATGAGTCATTATTCCACACTGTATTTGTAATGCTACCCTAATGGTCTCTTGTCTGCCTGAGTATGTACAGTGGTACTGTGAGATGAAGTATATCAAGGTAAAATACGAGTACATCCAGTACCGCTGGTGAGATGATGTATACTGAGGTAATACACTGACCAGGTATGAGAGCGCTGTGAGGTGAAGCTGTAACACTGAGGTAATACACTGAGTAGGTACAGTAGTGCTGTGGGATCAAGTATCCTGAGGTAACACCCTGAGTACGTATAGTAGTGCTGGTGAGGAGAACTCTGTTGAGGCACTATACGGAGAGTATCCAGTACAGTGGTACTGTGAGATGAAGTACACTGAGGTGCATATGGAGGAGTACAGAACCGCTGTGGGATGAAGTATACTGAAGCGATATGCCGAGTATGTAGGGTAGTGCTGGGAGATACACTACACTGAGGTAATACACTGAGTAGGCACAGCAACGCTATGAGCTGAAGCATACTGAGGTTAATACACTGAGTATGTAAAGCAATGGTGAGATATACTATACTGAGGTAATACACTGAGTAAAGAAAGTATGCTGCTGAGATAAAGTAAAGGAAGGTAATATGCTGATGACGTGTAGTAGCAGTGGGAGAAAAAGTATACTGAGGTAAAACACCGAGTACATACAGTAGTGCTGGTGAGATGAAATAGACTAAGATAATACAAAGCCAGAGTGACTAAAAGAAGATTAGAAGCTCATCATACTGGCAGGAAATTAGGGTCAGTATTAAAGAAGGGAAAAATTATGAAGCCACAACTTTTTAAAAAATATAAACAAATATTTAACTTACTCAAGTAATGTAAAATATATTCAGAAACTGAGCCCATGAGTAATCTGGGCAATTTGCATGGTTCCGAATACATATCATAATAATTATAAACACAAAACAGAAGTTACAATAAAATCATTCCTTACGAATCACCATCAATGCCATATGCAATGTACACATCATGTGTACGTACACACACACACACACACACACACACACACACACACACACACACACACACATTCTACAACCAACAAGCACAGCCAGGTATACTTTTCACTGGGGAAATAATAGGAACAAAAATAATTGTGGAAAGTACCTATTTTACCTACCAGACTATTTCATTTTGCTTTAAATAATGAGAATGCTTTATATACAACTGTCCCATCCCTCCACCCTCCAAATAAAATATAAGCAAGGAATAACTAACCCATGATATGACAAAAAATAAGGGCGACATTACATGGATATAAAATGGGAAGTAGATACAAAATGTTTCCAACAATGTGCCTTTTGCTAGCTGTGTTTTCTGAGCAGTAGAGAGCACTGACTGAACCCAACTTGGGATAGGAGACTGGTTCTTGCTTTCCAAAGACTATGCATTAAAGGAGTCACACAGTCCAGGGGCAAGTGTAATGCAAGAGAAGAAAGTGTATTTTTATGTGATTAAAACTTTCTAAAATCCATACCCTCAATGTGTCAGTGTTCTGTGGTATGCATCGAGTGCTGTGTTCATTTACCGTCATTCCAGTAGACACCCCCCCACCCTCCAGTACTTTATCCCTTCACCTGGCACACCACCTGGGGTATCTTTGTGCAGCTCTCATTAATGAATTCCAACCCTCTGACCAGGACATGAAAGCTCATTGGTACTCACCCTGCAAACTGGGCACTGCCAGTGACTACTGCTGTCTCTAAGCCTGTACTCATCAGACAAACACTTGGAATGATACACACGAAAACACAGGTCACATATCAACACCTCTCCAGGCAAATGGCATTCAAAACAATACCAGTCATGATTTTCTGTTTCCCAGTCCTACAAAAAATACAAAATAATTTCGTATGACATTTTGTCAATATCTGCAATGACTAAGAACAAAATTGAAACTAAAGTCCATCACAAGTTAGGCATTAAAAACAATTTTAGACATTAACTGTGTTAAAACAAGAGGGAAAAAAATACCTAGAAATTTGCTTCTTTAAATTTTGAATGTCTTTCCTAAACAGTATTAATATTCAGAATATCTTAAAGTGATCTGATAGTAAAACCAGCCCAAAATGAAGTAAGTCCAAAGCCAATCCCCATTCTAACATTATCTTTCATCTTTTAATATAATCTATGGAATAATTTCTCCAGTAAACTGAATAGCCCACACCAACACCTAGAGCTTAATATTTCAAATAAACAAACCTCTGTTTTGTTCTGCGTTTTTTAAAAAAATATAGTAAGTACTTAGCACACTGTGGGAACAGAGAGAATAGTAATAAATGGTGATGCTCACTATTCTTATCTTCTCATCCATGGTATTGGATGCTTTATTGAAAATAACATTAATCAGAATGTCCATGTTCTGACAGTTGTCAAATTTTCAGGGTCTGTTGAATTTGGAAAAATAAATTGAAAATGTGAAACTAAAGGTTTAATCACATTCTCCAAAGGACATTACCATAAAAAAAAGCAAAAAGGGAAGTAGGTTTATTTTCTTATTGGGACTATCCCTGGAAGTAAAAGAACATAACTACAGGTGCACAGGTGGTCTTCAACATTTTCTGTTACCTCCGTGTCTGTACAGCCAACGGCATTTAAATATAAACAGGAAGATGTTACAAGCTTAGTTTAGAATTCATTAATTCATTTTTCATATTTCACCCTCAGCTTTTATCAAAAAATACCTGTGTTAGGAGTGATGGATTAACTCCCAACCTTCTCTTGTAGATGCAGTAACTAAATGGACAAGGCTTGAAACTACACTTTGCATAATATAATCAAGGCCACTTTCAACGGGGATCCTGAAATTCCAGGCTTCAGCTCTGCCATCAGTTTTCTGTCACAAACCACTGTCTACAGTCTGCTTCTGAGGCTGGGCAGCTTTCTCATTTTCTCTCACATCCGTAACAACTCCAACAACTTGTCTAGGAAGCGCAGCTCCTCTGGCACCTGCGGTCCAAACGCATTGCTGCCTGACCTTCCTTATGAGAAGCCTACTACCCGCTCCTTCAAAAGAGAAGAGAGTCACTAATGTTCTAAAATTCACATCTTTCTACACTTTCTACCCATCCTCATGGCTATGGTATATTCTGCAAAAATACAAATTTTTGGTTTGCTTTTTATTAAAAGTTTGGTCTTTATCGACCAAAGTAATAAAGAAAAAAGCACGACCATTTCTGGTGATTTGCTGCGGATATACATACTCTGCAAAATTACTCTGGTGGAGTAATTTCAGTCAGAATACCAAAAAAAATCTGAGGATACTGATCTGACATAAAATATGGCAGAAGGAATCTAGCTCACCAACTGGGACACAGCACGTGCGTGGTGCTTGGCTGTAACCGTGGTCACTGGGGCGCCCACCTCGCACGGCTCATGTGGGAAGCTGTACTTCAGCTACTGTAATTTTTGTCTCATGAACTGTTGATAAATTAGGTTTCAGTAGGGAAAACATACGTTGTTCTATTTTTAATTAACAGAACTCTTTTCCAGTTTGAAACAAAGTCCTTCAGAATATTTTCTTCACGGCTGTTCAGAAACACCTGAAAGGATTTTGGTGGCTTTTATGTGACTCATCATAAACAAAAGAAACCACCATCTCTCATCACTTGTATTGTTTTTACACTAATTCATCTTCCTGTAATTCTCAGACCCCCAAGACCAGAGAGCAAGAGAGCTTACGGCTGGCGCACAGCTCAGGTCTCTCCAGAACCTCCTGCTTCTTCCTAAGCCTCCCCTCTCCCGTCCAGCCAGGACGTGAAGATGGCAGTGCATCTCTCTTCAATGGAGTTTGCACTCGGCCTAGTTTCTCACAACCGTTATAGGAACGAAAGTGTAACCCAAATGCAGGGGAGACACATGGGGACACATATTCATACAAGAGCATGTATGCGCCGTTCATTCTTTTAACTGCAATAGCTGTTCAGAACATACAAAACATGCAAAAAGTCAAGTTCAAAAGATTCTGAATCCAGGAAACACTGTTATGGATATAAATAATGTAAGCATGTTTGTTACAGGCAGAATTGCCTACAGTTTGTCTTTTAGTAAACAAAATCCATCAATATAGGACTTGTGACCAATGCTCACAGTGTGCCAAAAAGCTAAGCGTGTATATTCACTGGATTTCACTAGATGTCAGCAACTACTCTAGATAGAGCCTGAACAACAGTGTAGTATGTGAAATGACATTCCAGTACTTCAAGAAAGTTTTAAAAATGCAAACCTACTAGCATAAAACCAAAACTAGAAGCGGTGTAAAGATAGTATGATTTTAAAGAATAATTCTAACAAGAGTAAACTAAGCCTTAAAAAAAAAAAAAGACAGAAATGTAATGCCAAAAAAAAAAAAAAAAAAGCAGAATTAAAGTAAAATAACATAGTGCAAAATCAGTTCACCTTGTTTGGGGCTGCTGTCCTGGAGAAAGGCTGCATACTGTAGGCCTTTCAAAATAAAAACAAAATAATCTTGGTCTCTCTACTATAACTTTGCTCAACATCAGGCAATAAACAGAGCTAAAGGGATTTTTGTACACAAACTATTATTTGCTATACAACTTACATTACTTTTTAAATGTTATAACTGATAATCTATGAATGTCTAATCATCAATGAAAAGACAGTAGCACGCAAACTCAAGGGTAATTACTTGTTGGAGAGGAAACTTTGACACTAACACAAAAGCTACAAATGAACAAAGAGAAAATTCAAAGAGAATTCATGTGCCAGGAAACCTATAGTGATGTTAGAAAAACATTTTACTAACAAATTCGGTGCCATTAAAACTTTGCACAAGACCATGAATATACATCCTTTTGATCTGAAACTGGTTCAAGTTGGTTTTTTTTTTGTTTTTTCAAGTCAGGAGTGATGAACGTGAACGCAGTAAATACAATACTTGACCACAGACTGAGAGCCACACGGGCTGTCTTCCGAACCAGGAGAAAACACTCCACCATTTATAGAGAAGCAGCCTGCTGACCTACATCTGTCACCATTAACAGCATTTGGGTAAGACTCTGGGGCTACCACACCGGCTCAAATCCCGGCTCCAGCATTCACAGGCTGTATGATCTGGGGCAGAATACCTAGCTTCTCTTTGCATCATTTTCTACCTGGGAATGAACAAAGTAATACTGCCTAGTTTATGGGGTTTTTGTAAGGATTGAATGAGTTACTATGCTCAGTGGGTGCCCACTGCTGATGAAGACAATCTGTTTACTACAGTGCACAAACAGGACTTGAGGACAAGTCACAAAATGGTGTGACGTTTGTAGTAATACATGTGCGAGTTTCCTCCAGGACTTCAAGTTCCTTGTGACAGCTGACATGTTTCTGTAAGCTAGATGGAGCCAGAAATAGTGCCAACTTGACTTAGAGACAACACAGCAACAAGAGGGCTCAGTGGGAGAGCTGTGTCTATAACTAGGCCTCCCACACTGTAATCCACCCTTCACCACACTCAAGAGAGACTCCAACTTTTAAAGTAATTCCCTCTTTATACATAATGAACAGATAAACCTTACTTTATCATCAAATATGTGTCTGTGGTATCCTAACATAGAGAGAATACAAAAGTAAATCTCCACAATTGTAGCCTTAATTCTGTTAATAAACAAATTCTGTTATTAAATTGTTAACAAATATCATTGAGAGCTAAGAATTTGGTGATTAAATATTTCCAGCATTTTAAATATTATTTTTCAAAAGTAAAACTATTACAACAGTGTACATTGCTTAGTGATGTAGAATTTAGGAAGGGAAAAAAGGAATCACACACACACAAAACCAATCAGTCAATCAAAGCTTTAAAGAATATAGGACAGCATGACCCAAAATACTCCACTGAATATGGAAATTCTTTACCAATTCAAGACTTTCTAAGTATGTTACACTTTGAATACACATAGAACCACATTATAATTGGTTTCTAGTTGATTAATAATCACAGATATTTAATACTTAGTAAATAAGTGACTATGTATATATTTATTTTTTTAATTTTTTTGTTTAATTTGAGAGAGAGAGAATGTGTGCAAGCAGGAAAGTGGGGCAGAGAGATGGAGAGAGGGAGAATCTTAAGCAGGCCCCATGCTCACCATGGAGCCCAATGCAGGCCTCAGTCCCAAGACCCTGGGATCATGACCAGAGCCAAAATCAAGATGCAGATGCTCCACTGACCGAGCCACCCAGGTGCCCCAGTGACTATGTATATTTCTGTATCTGAGACAGGTAATGGACCTTTGGAAGAAAGAAACTGTAGTTCTGCACACAGTCAGCATAAATATAATAAAATATATTTCACTTAAAAAAATCAACAGTATCCAAGGGGCATGAAATTTTGCATTTAGGGAACTTAAAACATAGGATTGATTAATTTATGACAACTATAACAACAAAAATGCAAAGATCTAGCCTTTAAAAAAATTCTTACTTCAATACTTGTATTTATGAAGTGGGCTGGGACAGTCAAGCTGTTGAAATTCAGCAGGCCTCCCTTAATATTTTTTCAAGAACAAACCAAAAGAACCCTTTGTTGCCATGGCTGTATAATGGTGTGATTTCTGAAGGAGAAGACATAAACGCAGATGCATAACTCCTTGTCTTACCTAAAAGATGTGACCTTAGCCATGTTTTGAGAAGTACACAAACCACATCTGCTTTTAGACTAGCCACTTTGAATCTGGAGAAGCAAAAGATTATGGGGGAAATGTGTCTATGTTGCTCCTCTATAAATTAACACTAAATCCATACATCCCCAAGATAACTTGTGATCTCTTCAAGAAACCACAAAATGTGTATTTCCATTAATTATGCTTCTTTTCCCAAAAGTTTATTTATTTATTTTGAGGAGTGGGGAGAGGCAGAGAGCGAGAGTGAGAGGAAGAGAGGAAGACAGAATCCCAAGCTCCCAGACTCCACACTATAAGCACAGAGCCCAATGTGGGGGGTCAATCCCACAAACCATGGGATCGTGACCTGAGCCAAAATCAAGAATTGGATGCTTAACCGACTGAGCCACCCAGGCACCCCTAATTATGCTCCTTTGAAAGTGTTAAAACATTAAATACATGAGAAAAAGCAAAAACTAAAGAATTCTATCTTTTCACCTAGGCCTACTTTAAAAACCAGCACGAGGTCCTGCTTTTCAGCAGGAGAGGCCGGACTCTGTGAGAAGGAAGCACTCAGACTGAAGCAGCCAAGACCTGAGCTCCTGCCTACAGGTGCATCTGAACGGCAGAAGGGTTCCAAGTGACAGTGTCCTACAAGCACATGGATTTTCAAGTGGCAGTAATCAAGAAAGAAGAGATGAGACCCTAGTCCAGATCTGAGAGGTGAATAAAGAGTACTTTCATACAGAATGTCATTGCTAGGCACTTTTAAGTCAGCTTCTACACTTGTAACCAAGTGTCAGATCAAACATACCTGTCAAATAATAGGGCAGAGTCATGGCTTTGTGCCAGGAGCCGTGAAGAAAGCAGGAAGCATGAAATAAACAGTATTAACTGCCACAATATCAAAACATGTATTTGATACATTTAGCTGCAAATGATCCATAACTCAGGGATACCTGCCGTATTGTACTACATTCAATACTTTCATAAGACCTTTCTATCTTTACTGAGTACCTTATGAGTTAAAAGTTCACCTCATAAGAAATTAAGTTGTCTTTATTACAAAGGGAGCTACCAAATACCAAACTTAGCCGAACAAATGGTGAAATTCTGCTCAAGAAATACAGTTCTCACGATGTGAGAATAAAGGAAATAACCATCATGATCAAGTATAAATGGAATGTAACCATTCGTGTATACTTCTCTAGAGCAAGCAGATGATGAAGCAGTCTATGAGAACATGCAGTATTTCTTTAAGAACTCAAAAAGCCTTGATACAACAAAATGCTGAATGGTCAGATATCACAAAGTTTCACTCTATGCCTTGGGTCTACTGGCCTTTATTAATATAATTTGGAAAGCTCTGAAAAACATTTCTACATGACTTCCTTGGATCCCATGAGTATTAATGACATACAAATCTGGAAGTACAAGAGGACCGTAGAAAATTTACAAGAGTGTCTCCCGGTTTCGCAGGATTGTCATTTTAAAACTGATTGGTACAGATACTTTTGCTAGTTTGTGGACTAATATTTAAGCAAATCATTTAAAATGGAGAATGGCCTCATTTTTAATAATTGGGTTTTTTATTCTGCTTTCTCAAATGGTCATACTTAAATATCACCATTAGGATGCTTATCTCTACCCAATTTTATCACTTTCTCCAAATGAGTCACCACTTCAACAGGGCTATCGTGCCGGTTTGGATCAGAAATCACTCCAGTCTAGCAGAAGGCACCTCAGTACAATGGAGGCCACTGTCCTGACTTATACAGGCTTCCTTTTAAACAGATTATATATAATTATATCCTGACATACTATTAGCATTAGACATTTATTACATGATTGCTGGAATTAATAAAAATAATGTGTATGATATCCATATCTTTCAATTATATCAGTTTGTAAAAATAACTAGCAAGAGAAAAGGTAGCCAAGGTGGAATAAAAACATGACACCAACAAGCCCTCTGCTCAAACGCGGAGGAGCAGATCAGGAGAACTACCTGGTCTTTGCTACCATAAAGGACTGAAGACAAGACCATCCAAGCTCCGTGCTAACCAGGAATATACCCTGGGGACTTACTAAGGAAAATCTGCCTTTTCCCCACCTCTGAGGTACAGCTAACACTTTTAGAGGTTATAGAAGGAAAAGAAGAGCCTTACTACCCATTTTCAAATGACAGAACTTCCTGAGTAAAGAGTATTTTAACCTCCAATTAAAGGTTTAAGACAAATAACAAAAAAATCTTAATGCATTTCCTTCCCAAGGCCATATAGATCTAGTTGACTTTTTCTTCTCTTGGTAGGGAGTCGGAAAGTCAACAGGATTAATAATAACCTACATCTTTCCATTTAAGAACTCAAGTGTTCAGAGGATTCCACCATGTACAAGGTGGAGGAGGTATGAAGGAGGCCCCAGACCCAATGCCTGGACTAGCGGGGTGGCCACAAGCCCACAGAGCGCTTCTGTGCAAGTCAGAACAGGCGACCCTTCCCCAAGACTGGCTTCATTAGGGGAGAGACGTGCCGTATGGGAGGGCACTGCTGGTAGTGCAGACTGGGTGCACTTCCCAAGCTCTGTGGTTCAGAATGGGCCCAGACACAGCGGCCCACATGCACGGGCCACACAGTTCGAGATGTTTGCGTGACACACGTCAGCTCCATGTCCTTCTAGGGTATCCTTAGTGTATGAAAATGGCAGCACGACCTCCCTTAGGGAACAGGTGCTAACCCAGTCATGGGTCTAAGATACACAATCTCATCACTCTGTGGTTCCACCTCAAACAAATCCAGGGTCTTGGGGAAAGTTCTATACAAAGCTCCTTGTGTTTAAAGATACAGGTTAAAAAGTAAAAAGACCCTGATGAGAATTTTTGCTTGTATGGTTAGGAGGAAATGTATGTGCTTTTGTTAAACTGTATGTAGGCATTTCTTAAGCATATATTTGTTCACTGGCCAAAATTTGCTTTGAGTACACAGCTATGTGCTTTATACAGATAATTTCACTGAATCCTTTCACAATCAAGTGAAATAGATATTAATATGCCCGTATTATAGGTGAGGAATGAGGATCAGAGGTTAAGAAATTTCCTCAAGGTCACACAACAAAATAAATGTTTGAGATGGGGTGGAAACGCCATCTATTAACAATGTAAGACCTGACCCTCTTTCTGCTGCAATACACTGTCTCCGAATTTTTATTTTATTTGCTTATTCTATAAACTAGGCACAATTTTATACACCTCGTTGTACTTGTGTACATGCATACATATAACATGCATACTTAGTACGTAAAATGTTTGTAAGAACCAACCAGAATTAATAAAACCTGTACACTGGTTGTTTCATTTACATACAAAATTTCATCTTGAAAAATGAAAAAAGAAAAAGAAAAGGATGATGCTATAAATATGTAGACTAAGGACATGTAAAAATAAAAAGAACACAGAATCCAATGCAGTGGTGAACGTATAATAGCTCATTAACTGCTTGTTGAAGTAAACTGAACAGAGAACCTCCAACGTGGAGGGGAAGAAAGCTTACGGGAAGTAAGGAGAAGTAAAATCATTTGCATGAAAAATGTACACACGGTCCACAAACCAAAATCCTATGGATTAGATTAAGTTGCACTTACTATCGGTTAATTATACATAAATATCAAAAATTACCAGTATCGCCATCTATACTAAGTCTGTAAACTTCCCAGTGTGTTGGGAGTAGACATTTTCTATTACCTGGACTATATTCAATGTATAAAAAGGTATCATTTATCAATGTCTGATGGAGATTTAGATCACCTCATGCTATAATTATTACAACTTGGCCCCCACAGTTTCTTCATTGGCAACAAAGCTCTACTTTTCTGAAAGGAAGTGAGCAGAAAAATCACCATGATGGAAACATTCTGACTTAAGATTTCAAGAGCACTTCTAGTGCTCACATCAGATGATACCAGTGACATTAAACATTTTTTCTTCCACATTTTGTGTTTATGGAAAATGTGAATTTTCTTTCCTAAAACTTTGAAGGCACAGATTCAACTGACAAACACAGCACTGAAACTGAACAACTTCCCTAATGTTTAAACTTACTGCTGCCCCCATGGACCAGCTGACCCAGAAAGCATGCCCCTCGGGCCTGACGGCGGGCGTGTGCACCCATACATCCACCCGGGAGCCAGAAAAGGAAACACGATTCACAATTCTTGGGAAATGTTTCCACAGAGAACAAATTTTAAGGTTTTGTGTCATTTTTATGAGAGAATTCATGATAAACACTCTCAAAACACCTACTTACTAAATCGACTCCTTTCGACTCCTTTTTAATAGAAACTAAAAAAAATTAGTATCTATTATATTTGAAGCCTACCATCTTTAAATGATGTTCCTCAGCAAAACTTAAGACTTTTCTAATCAAGAAGTATCAAAGGCATATAAAGGTAGGAAGATAAAAATATTACACAGGAAGCCAATTTTTACACAAGAAAAAAAATGCACTTCTCCATGGGCCCCTGAGTATCCAAGTGTAACGTAAAAGGAAAGAGAAGACTAAACTGTCCTCACTTCAAAGAGGAGTCAAAGTAAGAACTAGGCAAAACTATAAAGAAAACTTAACTCTGTCTTTCCTGATTTGTATTAGAGTGCCACCAAACCAGCTTATGGTCATGGTCAGTGAGGACACAGGCCAAGGGAACCCTAACGTGGCCACCGTTGTTCCTGCAGAAACCCTATGGACAGGTGGCTCTCGGCGTGGACATCATCCAGCCTGAAGTGAGCAGTTTCCCAGGGAAGCCCATCCTCCTTTTCACTCTGTCTAGATGGCATCGACATTATCCTGCATTGAAACATTCTTTACTAGCATCTACTGAAGAAAATAGGAATACCGTTAATTACATGTACATTAAAAGGGACTTCATTTTACAGATTCAAGGTAACCTAGACAGAGAAAGCAGGCTCTCTGTAGAACTGAGTTTTCTCCTAAAGAAGAACGAAATTATCCATCCAGCACAAGTATGCCCTTAAGGTTAATAAAGAATACTGAAGTGAAATATCACTAAACTTCTAAAAATCAATTTCTACGGGTTGTATTTAAATGATATTCAAAAGCTTAAAATCAGCACCTCCACATTTATCAAATAAAATATACTTACAATCTCATCTCCTGGCAACCAGTATCCTTCCTGCTCAATACCAGCCTTTGAGCCTTTGCAGCCCACTGTTAGGGTTTCCACAATGAGACCATCTTTCACAGCCAGGCTCAGCTGACGGGTGGTCTCTTTTGGATGCATACCGTGGACTCGAGACATATACCTGAGCACAGAGGGAAAGCAAATTTAAAAACCCCTTAGTACTAAAAAAAAAATAATAATAAAAATAAGAAAAATAGAGGTGATTTCTCTTTTGTTACAACTTGTACTTACAAGGGCCCTACTGAAGAAAGAAAGAAAGTCCTGAATATTTAAGTCTTTTAATTACCATGGTATTTTAAACCTTAATTCTATTTGTATATTTAGAGGAATATTTGTTCAAAAATAGTCTTTAACCAACAATATAAATCCCTTAACAGATTTTAGTCAAACATCTCATGTAGTTCTGGCTTCTAGAGTAATTACCACTAACTCCCACTCTTCAAATTCTAAATTTAGAATTTTATCATCTCTAGTCACAGGACTTCTTAATATAAAAGAATACTTGGACTCAAAACTTAGGAAATGACACTAAGGAACATATAACAATTACACGAATGGCTGTCGACATAAAGAAACAAGAATGTATGTTGGGATCAATAAAGCAAAAATGTGATTTTCAATGAAATAGACTTTGGATTCAATCAATAAAGCCTACAGGCACTCCCTGGTTTACATTCGCATGGCATTTCATTTAATTTCTAGAAATGTAATATCTCAAATGTACTTGGGACCACAGAGAATAACACTTAGGTTCCCTTGTAATCACCAACCATAGTGAACTCATGTTAACACTACGGAATCTTTGCTTCATCGCTTGTTTTTTAAGGAAATAGAACGTTACACATATGGTTGGATTTGTGCTGTTCTCCATTTCCCTCCATTCAAACCCCAAAAGCCTCCTCCAGTAAGCTACTGGACAAAGAGCTTCCTCTGGACATCCAGACACAAAAACATACTATGTGGCAAGTCAGGCCATCTGTGGATGCTCCAGAGAACCTGGCACGGAGAAGACGTGGGGCCGCGCCCACAGTCCTTAAGGAAATTTACTAGCACACAAGAATTTTATACCAAATTAATCTGTCATTTAAGTATCAAAGCATTCACAACAAATCATTTTGAAAATGCAAGAATGTATCATAGAAGAACCTTCTAAATTCAAAGGATAAACTTCAAGAAAGCAAAGCAGTGAACCCGGCAAAAGGACTGATGTGCATGCAGTCTGTAGAAGATCACGGCTTTCTGTTTACGAGACCACCAACTCTCACAAGGTGCTGCTCCATCTATCAGTGCAGTTAGCTGCAAGGATAGGAAACAGGAGGGTGGGGATGGTGGTGAACGCATGCTGGCCTCAACAGAGCGATACCCCAGCACATCCAACCCGGCAGGAGAGGCCCAGGAGCCCCACGGTGTCGCCTGTGTTGCCAGAGGCGCAGCCCTATTTCCATGTGCAGAGTCGGTGCAGAAATTGTCAAGTCCAGGTGCTATGGGGGAAGGGACATGAACCCAGGTGATTGTGTCTTAATTTCCTCATTGTTCACAGGAAGAAGCCAACAGAAATGAGCTCAAGTACACCATCTCAATTCATAAAGCTAACCCTCAGAACAAAAATACAAACCTTCTAAATGATCTGAAGAAACTCCTAAAAAACATATTATGTGATGAAGCACAAAAACACCAAAAGGAAACAGGAAGCATATATCACACATGACGACAGGACCAAAACCAAGTTTGTCTGTTTAATAAATACAGTTTAGGGGGCGCCTGGGTGGCGCAGTTGGTTAAGCGTCCGACTTCAGCCAGGTCACGATCTCGCGGTCCGTGAGTTCGAGCCCCGCGTCCAGCTCTGGGCTGATGGCTCAGAGCCTGGAGCCTGTTTCTGATTCTGTGTCTCCCTCTCTCTCTGCCCCTCCCCCGTTCATGCTCTGTCTCTCTCTGTCCCAAAAATAAATAAACGTTGAAAAAAAAAATTAAAAAAAAAAAATAAATACAGTTTGGCTAATCTCCACAGTACGAAAAAGACAAACTGAATTACAACACTAAAAATACACAGTCTACAGGACACACTTTTAAAGTGACTCAGACAACTGGACAAGAACGGGCACAGGCACATCATAAAAATGCAACCCAAATGAAACAGGATCGACACTGTAACGGACAGGATTTGGAATCCAAGGCAAAAGTCAGGTTTAAAAAAAAGACAAACAGGGCATAGGTTGTTATAAAGCACAGACTGTAAGAAATAAAGGAAATATTGACAGGAATACAGAATTATGTGACTCCTCTCCATCCACAAAACATCTAGTGGACAAACCTAAGTATTCATACAGAAGACCTAATTAACAAGGCGGAAGGCAGATCTAGTTAAATTTATTCTGAAACCCAAACATAGCTTCAACAGGTCCAAGGAAAATTCTTTACAGTTGAGCATAAAATTGGACACAAAAACAGGCTTATTTCAGATTCCAAAAGTGATGGCAGACACTTGCTAGTTTCAGTGAAAGTAAACAAGGTATTAATAATAATGGAACTGGAAAACGCTCATGAACAAGTCAATCAAAAAGGTTATCTAAAAATTGCAAAAAAAAATATAAGCACATAACTAAAAAGCTAAAGCAGTGTCTAAAAGATAAAACGTGAAAACTAAGAGTCCAGGAGCCCTTCCTTAAGAGAAAAATAGAGATATCATTAGTTGACCTAATCAACAATGAAGACACAAATCAGAAAAACATACATACTAAGACATGTCTACGGAGCCATAACCATAAGTAACAAAGAAATTAAAACAATTATAAGCAACTACTTTGTTTATTTCTGTGCCAAAATAGAAGATAAACACTATAATTTTCTAGGAAAATATTAATGACCAAAACTTGACCACAGAAAAAAATAGAATACTTGAAATGGGCAATTTCAAAAGAAATTAATGGAGGAAGTTGGCAAAGAGCTTTCTCAGAAAAACACCAGGTGGGGACATTTTCACAAGGCACTTCTATCAATCTTTTAATGGTCAGATAACTCCAATATGATATAAACTTTTCCAGTACTTTAATAAAGAGGGAATGCAAGAAATCTAGCAAACTAATAGTAACAAACCCCTACAAAAATAGCGAAGAAAAAGAAAACCAGTGTCCCATAGGAACAGATAAAAATCCTCGGGGCGCCTGGGTGGCGCAGTCGGTCAAGCGTCTGACTTCAGCCAGCTCACGATCTCGCGGTCCATGAGTTCGAGCCCCGCGTCGGGCTCTGGGCTGATGGCTCAGAGCCTGGAGCCTGTTTCCGATTCTGTGTCTCCCTCTCTCTCTGCCCCTCCCCCGTTCATGCTCTGTCTCTCTCTGTCCCAAAAATAAATAAACGTTGAAAAAACAATTAAAAAAAAAATCCTAAATTAAGTATGTGAATATAGTCTAATATTATTAATATAAAATAAATGTTAACATATTAACACATTCAAATATCAAAAGAATATACTACAACAAGGGATTAATTCTAGGACTTCTCCAAAGATTTCTTATTACAAAGAAATCTAGAAATATGATTCATCCTATTAATAGATCAAAAGTGAGAAATATATGTGTTAAAAGCGCATTTAGTAAAATTCACCATCCAGCCCCGAACAAAAGGGAATGAGTAAACACTTCCTTAACCTGATCAGGAATATTCAAAGATGCCTTTAACCCTATGCCAAAGGTAATAACCAACATACCTAAAAAAAGGAAATAAAGTGTAAAAGTTGGTAAAGATTTAAAATAATCATTATTTGCAGATTATATATCTAGAAAACCTAAGGAAATCAGCTGACACACTATTTTAAATAACCAAATAATGTAATCAATTATTCATTTGAGTACAAACTAATATACTAAAATTAACAGCAGCATTCATATAAACCAAAAAAAAAAAAGTTAAGAAATTTAAAGTAAGACCACAATTGTTTACAACAGCAATAAGAAAGATAATACAGAGTGATAAACAGAAGACAAGATCTGTATGAAGAAAATGCTGAAATGCAACGAACATGAGAGGATGAACACATGCGTGATATCTGAATGGAAGACCACAAAATCCAAATTGCCTCCAAGATCATTTAATAAAATGCTACCGCAAAGTAGGCAAGTTAATTCTAAAGTTCTGTAGAGAATTAAAAAATAACTTCCCAGGAAAATTCTTTCAGGGAAATATAAGGTATTAAAACACTGTTGAGCCAAAGTAATTAAACTTTTGTGTGAACAGTAGGCCAATGGAACAAACATAAAAGTCCAGAAAGAGACCCAAATACACATTTTGATTATAATAAAAGTGCCATTTCAAATTAGTGTGGGAAAGATTAATCAACAAACACAGGACACTGGGACAAGGGGCTTTGCTACCTTGAAAAAGAATAAAGATGGGGCCGTGCCTTAGTCTGTGCCCATAAGTAAATTCTGAATAGGTCAGATTTAGGTACTGAAAACAAAACCACAAAATTATGACAAGGAAAACACGGGAGAGCAATCATGGTGCGAATAAAACCTGCCTAATCTGAAACAAAAACCAGAGTGATTTAAAGAAAAGATTGAGGGGCGCCTGGGTGGCGCAGTCGGTTAAGCGTCCGACTTCAGCCAGGTCACGATCTCGCGGTCTGTGAGTTCGAGCCCCGCGTCGGGCTCTGGGCTGATGGCTCGGAGCCTGGAGCCTGTTTCCGATTCTGTTCTCCCTCTCTCTCTGACCCTCCCCCGTTCATGCTCTGTCTCTCTCTGTCCCAAAAATAAATAAACGTTGAAAAAAAAAAAAAAAAAAGAAAAGATTGAAAAATTTACATAAAATCAGCAATTTCTACATAGGGAAAAAAACATGATAACCAAAGTTAAAATCACAAATGCTAACCTGGGAAACATATTTGGAACACACAGACTGAAAGACCAAACTTAAATTCTACATATTCTTAATATATTTTAAAAAATCCTAATTAATAAGGAAGACCACAAAACAGCATTCTGTGACTGTCATAGGTCTGGCACACTGTGCAGACAGACAGGACCTGATGGGAAGTATATCACAGGTGCCATGTAAAAGAGCGCTACACTGTGGGGCAAATGTCTACCAAGTATAGAAACGTATACACCTTCAGAGCCAACAGTTTCA